CCCAAAATCTATAAATGTGACAGTCTTGTTTCAAACCTGAAATGAAAATCTATTCAATACAGCTTTTTCCATTTTCAAGGAAAACTCTAACATAGGAGTAAACACCACACTGATTTTGTTGAAGTGCTTTCAGATTTACGCAGGTCTAAATGTGAACACAAGTTGCCCTATAMGTTTTAGAAATGCTTGGCTAGACACCAAACATGGCACTTATGTAAGGCTGCATAATCACCTGACACTTGTAGCTGCCTTGCTGATTTTCCAAGAATTTTAATCCTCTTTCCCCGAAACTATCCTTTTAGTGAGCAAATATATTCAGGCTATTACTTATATACTTGCTTCACAGACAATATTTGAAAAAGGAGAATAACAGTATCTGCTCTCAAACATCAGAAATCATAAAATGTTCATTGCACAACAAAGAACCAACTACGACTTCTCATATATGGGGGCCCATTCCTAGGCTGAGCATTCCCAGTCTGCATCCACCCTTTAGCAGCCCCTTTATGGCAGGATAAGGGAGCCCTGCAGCTCCTCCTTCCCACCAGACAGGGAGGCAGTGAGCCTGAAGTAGGRCAGTTGTTAGCGAGTGCAACGCACAACCACAGACAGACACTTGCTGGTTGGAGGCAGGAATAACTTGTTCCTAGTAGCACAGGCCATGTTTTTATAGAATGTTTAAGCGTATAAACTAGTCCAGTCAACTTGCTTTCGTTCACAGTTTATGCCAGACATAAAATTTAATGGGTCACATCCGTAGCCCCATGAAGTCAATGCAAACTTTAATTACAGACTTCAAAGAAACCAAAATCTGCCTTTATTACTCAACAGATTTCTAATTAGTAACTGCACAACTGGGGCTATTCATTAACAATGACTTTCATATGTGGTTTTTGTATGTGTAATTTACATTTACATCCTTTGTAATAACTAAGGGTCCCTCAAGTGACAACAGAACGTATTAARCAGTCCTTGAACCACAAATTAGGGGAAGCCAGAACAACATGCTGGGGAATCACCGYTTTCTCTGCAGCCCTCCACTCCACAAGGGATGACTGTGTGTTCTTACAAGAGCTGATGCAGACCCGTTGAGGTCGGAAAGGACCTCTGGAGCTCATCCAGTCGGAATCCCTGCCCAAAAGGGGACAAGTAAAGCAGACTGTCCAGGCTTGTCCCCAGTGGGGTTTTGAGTATCTCCAAGGGTGGAGAGTCCAAAGGCTCTCTGGGCAAYCTGCTACAGCAGCTGCCTACCCCATGTTATTTGTAAAACAAACAACATTGGCTGTTCACATGGAACTTCTTGTGTTTCAGTCTCTGCCCACCACCTCTTCTCCTGTCGCTATTTGGCAGTGGYACCACCTTGTAGCTGTACGTACAGTGGGGGAAGAGTTAGAGGAATTCTCCACTGCTGCAAAATATCAGCGTAACTCCGCTTACATTTAACGAAAGGACCGTTCCTCAAGCTACACTAAAAAGACCATTCTCTGTAAGTCACCAGTGTTTCAAAGCCAATTCCCATTCTGCTAAGACCCAAGCATTTCACATTACTACTCCTGCAAACAGTCAGGATGAAATTAGTTAAAGAATGAATCTGTTGTTCCCTGTAACTACACTTTTCAATTGAGAATTTAATCTCATGTATTAAAAAATGTTTTTATTTAAAACTTCACCACTGAACATACCATACTAAATAGTWATTTGAAAGTCTAGCAATGGTCTCTGCATTCATCTTCCCGCTCCTAAAGATGCAGGTATTTAGACCCAAGCATAACTTGCTTCTGGGACAGAAGATGTCCAATAGGAAGAAACACAAAAATCGCTTTAAATTTTAGATAATCAGTTTCATGCAAATAGAGTCAACTTCAGCTTTTTGCTTGAGGGATTTTTTTTTACAAATAGGGCAGCTTGTCAATCGTTAATTTTCTAGTGGGAAAACTGGAGATAATTTCAAACTATGATATTTAGTTTTTCCCATCTGATGTGAACCATTCTGTTTTGAACTAGATTATTAAACACCAAATATATCTCCCTGTCAGCACATTTCCCAAATTAAGCAGGAATTCAGACTTCCATTCCTTCTAGGGGCCAAGCCTGCAGGGAAACAACATCTGCCTGGAGATCTATGAATTTTCCTCTGCATCATGGCAAGTACTTTCTGGCCAGAAATTCTGGCTTATACAGCAGAACAGTCACATCAAGMCCTTCTAAAATTCCCATGTGGTACTGATCCAAAATGGAATTTGCAAGAAATAATACATGTTGGGTCAGTTGTTTAGTAAGTAAATAAATAAATAAATTTTAGACATGGGGTTTTGTGGCTGTCCATATATATCTTCACCGAGAAAAAAAAAAATGGTAACTTAGATTCTATTTGAAATGAAAGCAAAAAATGTATCTTTGGATTATGTTTTAGAACCAAAAAAAAAAAAAAAAAAAAAAGGGTTCATTCAGCACCATCTGCTCCCTTCCACAGGTAACAGCGGAATTTCTGATATTTGGAATATTTTGTAATATGGGGATATTTTGGAATTTGCTTAACAACTATTTTTTAATTGCTCTTGAGGATCTATCTACAAGGCCTACTTCTRAGGTCTATTTCTAAGTCCAAAATTCAGCTAGGATCTTGTCGTTCCACTACCTGCAGGAGAAATGGCTGTGGCTTCTCAAAGCGAGATGTATGTTTTCAGAGGGTTCTGCTGCACTGTGACGAAGCTTTTCACGTCTCTCCAGTTGTGATACTGTGCAAAGCAGGAATACAGGCACGCACTCACTCAGAGGAAATCCATGCAGGYTATAAACACGGTGCTCTTCTTTCCTTCAGTATCTTTCCAGATATTTTAAAGCACTTGAACAGTGCTTTAAAAGTGAAAAGCTGATGTTTATTAACTTTTCTTTGTATGTATTTTTGCTTTGCAGGTTACAGTGAGCAGATTCATTTTAGGTACACAGACATTCATTGTAGGTATATATTTCTGGACTACATTTTATCAACGTTTCCAGACTGTGCGGACCCCTGGCAGAACAGTGTGTGCTCAATATAAAGCAGCTCCATGTATCTCCCACCAGCAAGGGCACGATGGACATCATCTGGACACAACCCGTATGAATACAGTAGGAAGTCCTGCTCCTGAACAAAGGCAGTACACCTATGTGCTAAAAATGACTATGAAGATTCACTTCTGTAAATGAAGTAGCTGAGATGCATCTATACCACTTGATTAAAACAAGTACTGATTACAATTCCTCTCCCACCATGTTGCAATAGTCTAAGGTATATTTACTTCAGCATTTTCTATAGTTTGGCTTAGCCCAGTATTAAATATTTATTTCCAGATAACTGAAGCCTGAATATATTCACTATTAAAAAGTAAATTGCTTAAAAATAAAATAAAATACTAAATTTATGGAGGTCATAGACATCAAGTACAAGATATTATCCATTTTATGGCGTGCAGCAGTAGACTATCAGCAATTATGTGATTAAAAAGCTACTTTCACATGCATGGCCTTCCCAGCCTTTGCCTGGGTCATCCTGGACAATCACTTGCAACCAGTTGTCATCCAAAATCACTTTCCAGGAGACTGACAGCAGACGGTGGTGCAACCTCTTCCAACCTCGTAAATTATTAAATCTCATCATTTGCTTMGGCTTTTGACGTGTAAAGAGGCATTTGGGCTGTGTGATTTTGCCTCAATTTTGTTTATACTTAGGATTAATTTTTTTTCGGTTTCTCGGTCTGGAGTCCATTTCATAATATGGGCTCTTTCTGCCATCTTTCTACAGTATTGTTTTTCACTATTTCATTACAAGCACTTAGCCATGGACTAAAAAAGTAAAAAGCTTTTGGCACTGGGGCTGTCAGACATTGCCACTCTACATAAACTAGCRTGCTTATCTTGTTGCTGAGAGATAAATTATTGCTAATTAGGCCAGTTAATTGAATAAATGCTTTATACCACTTTGATTAATTTTCAAGTAATCACTTCTCACACAGCTTAAAACCTCTTCACACAACATTACATGGGGAAACAGCGTTATTCATAGTATTGGAATAAAACACATTGCCTATTCTCGTCAACTAGGAATAGCTGCACAGTGTTCCAAAACCTCTGGAGGGAGGATGTCCATGAGATAGAAAGCAGTTTTATAGTGAAATCTATTATTTCACTCCAAGTGCATTGCTATTTGAATATTATTAATAAAAGTAAATGTACATTTTTCCATTGAACACTTAACTATTGGATAAATCTGTTGATTCTACATGACTCTCCTACCAGGCAACAATGGCAGAATGAAGAAGTCCAGTCATGCCCAGATTCTCTTCCTAAAGGGAAGACAAATACGACTTATCATATCTAGAGCTAAAAKTATTTTCTAAACTCAAGAACCTTAAAAATAAAACCTCCCTTACAACATTTATAAGTTTATTCTCCTGCACAAGCAGAAGCATCTGGCTATGCATTGGAATATACAACTGTCATATCCCCTATCATATATGGGAAAACACAAAATAAAATTAATGTGAAAACAAGACAATAAGTGACATACTGATGTTTCCAGAATAGTCAATGTATTTCCACAATTCCAAAGGACCACTGTTGGATTTACTGAACCCTACTCTTTGATGACATTAATATCCATTAACCCATTAATATCTGTATGTATCCAAATATATCCTGACTGTGCAGCATTTTAGAAGAGGTTACATTCAGTCCTGGCTCAGGCAATGCAACGAGTTACCTTGATATACAGAACTGATGTGACTGCAAATGCTGTTTGTTTATCAGGCTGCATCCCCTTTCTCATCAAAGAACCTAGAATGCCCACAGTTGCTGCCCAGTTTGTCTAAGGGGTTTTGGTACCAGCCTTGGTATTACGGTTGCTAATACTAGTTCACAGAGAAGGCAGCAGACAGCATTGTTGCAAATGCTTAGAAACTTGCTCAGGCCAAGACACATATCCTCAGTGTACTTACAACTCACAGCCTCCAATGCTCTCCTAACAGTGGGATCCAGCCACCATCCTGTTTAAAAACAGAGCAAGGCTTGTTGTTTGCTGCTTAATCCCAGCCAGGGCAACAGAGGGAAGTGAGAAAACAAACACCTGTCATAGCAACCTGCTGTGGCTGTGTATCCCCATTAACCCCAAAAGGTTCAGATAAAGAGATGGCTCCCACCCAGCAAAAGGCAAGGCTGCTAAAACAAAGACAACTCTGCTCCTTTTCTGTTAAAGCTGTGTCACTGAAGCAAACAGTTCAAAGTCTATAGGGATAAGAACAGTGTGTGGTACTTACTCCAAGAAACAGTGTAGGGGCAACACATCCTTGTCTCAAAACTCACGCTCCTGGAACTACATAAATTCATGTAATCACCCTCCGAAATAAAATAGTTGGAGGGAGAAGGCTACAGTTTGAACACTCTCAGATAGAACCAAACTGAATCTGTCCCCTCTTGGGTGAGCGAGCTGACAGCTAGGCTGTTGAAAGAAAGGTTGTGCAACCTCCCCATCTTTTAGCCACATGTTGGGAGGAAGCAGCCACACCAAACTTGAAGAATCTCTGAAGAGCAGGMTGTGAATGGGCCCCGAGAGCGCCGCTCACCCTGCCAGCTGCAGCCGGCTGAAGGAGACGCGGGCGCTGAGCTGCGTCRCTGCTGCGCGGGCAGAGGAGCTGACCTCTTCGGGGTCCACAGACATAAAATCAAGGAAGTCTTTTGTGATTTTAGGCATCGTCTGGATTAGGCCGCAGCCGTGTGAGATTTCTTAGATCGCATTTTTGGACTTGTGCTCCTGAATTCTCCCTAAATCCTGCTTTAGGCAGTTAAGTCCTTTATCAGATCTAGCCAAGAAACTCACTCTCCCTCCCTCTGTCTTTACTGTCTGATAAGTATTTTAGATCCTATTATGTTTTGCCTCCCTTTTATTTTTAATGAGATCTTTATCTAACATGTACTTAACTATTTATCCTATGTGTAATTGCTTTTTTATACTTAGTTCATACATAATTACTAAGTGTGGTTAAATAATTTACGAAGGGCTTTATTGCAGAAGTACTGAGGACCCACAGCTCCAGTTTACTCAAAAGGAATTAAGATCCTTTGAAAAACCCATAGTGCCAGGCTGTACAGAAACACCAAATAAATTGGTTCCAGTCTTGCCCTGTTCCACCCATATTAACCAACTTTCAAAAAACTGCTGGAAATGCAACTTTGTGGCATCTCGTATCTAAGCAAACCTGCTCAAAATCAACTTCTACACAACACCACATCTCACTATGTAGAGATACTCTTAATCCACTGCATTAATCCTTACCCTAAAACAAGGCTTCACAATGTTTGCAATCTACTTCCCCCTCACTTTTGCTACTAAGACTTCTATAAAATCAAAGTGACTACTGCATTGTTTCTGCAACAGTAAGGTCTGGCTGTTGTTGTCTTTGCCTACTGTATTTTATTCATCTTTTCAATAATGAAGCACTTTGGAAAAAGATTAGTGCCCAGGGTGAAGCAGATTCTGACAGAATGCCAGACAGCCATTTTTTCATTATAATTGTCAGCTTTTCTTTTGCTTTGGTTATTATTTATTTTTAAATAATAAACACTACACACTACAAGCAACCGTGGTGCAAGGTCTGGGCAACTCGATGAAATTGGCCATCAATGATACCCTCTGAGGTCTACTCATCTTAGCAGCTATGCAGAAGTTACAGCCAACAACTCCTTGTCTGGTGGCTGTTCTCACCTCCAATGGGGTTCCTACAGTCTCATGTTAAACCTCGCAGTACAGCAGTTAGCRTGGCTGTATCGAGCCTCTGTGGAAGACAACAATTGAGCGTTTCCAGACCCATGATTATTATTATTTTGTTAATGCCAAACAAGTACCGTTACCCACACTACCATAGCCCTATTTTTCATTCCTCAATTGCTACGCGTAACAAAGTAAAATAAACAGAAAAAGCCAAGATTTCAAACAGTTTCCTGCCTCCTACATTAAGACAGCAACARATTTAATGATCAAAAGCCAATATATATGTGCTGCTTTGCATTCTTCATACTCTGTATCTCAAAATTTTCCATAATGCTAGTAACATAAGACATCATGGATTGCACTGATCACTGACAAATTTGTTGAAAAAAATGCTTAAGAATTACCTACTTAGTTTATTATCATGACTGGCCTATCTGTCCTTTTATGTACTGTGTGGTACTAGAATAACAGGAGCAAAACCTCCTCCCATTTGCTATTACCTTTACAACTCCTGCATATTTTATAGCATTGCCTATTCTGATTGCATCCATACCTAAGAATCTAACTTAGAATCCAGCTGGGGCAACAAATCCCCCAAAGATGAAATTTGTTAAGTCTCAACTTTTCCGTGAAACTTAAATAAATTTAGAATTTGCTTTACTAGAGTGATGCCGAAYATTTTTCCATTTAGAAGGGTGCCTGCAGGAGCTATCTCACTGAAACATGAAAGAGCCAGCTAAACAACAAAGAACAAACTGAAACAAAAGTAAATCAAGTTCTTCTGCAGACTCATTGTTCCCCAGTCAAGGCTGAAGAGACTTAAACATCACTCAGGTCTTCAAAAGCCAAGTTATTTGGTATTTTGTTTAATCTAGCCCGTTAGAACTCCTTTTTTTAACATTTATTTATGTGGTGATTTTTTTTCTTTTTTAATAAAAAGTGTAAGAGTTTTCCTGTAGAACAAACAGTTCTCTGGAATGTTCTGCTTTAAAAGACAAAYGAAAATATTAATCTTATTTGCCTAATCTAATCTAATCTCTCTCCAATTAGTTTTATTTTGTCTTTGATACACATTCCTTGGCAAAAAGTTACAACAGCTGGATAGTTAGCTAACTACCTCTAAAAAATATTTACGACACCGTTTTATGGTTATCTTGTGTTTATCTGAGTTGCAGATACTGTATTGCTTAAAGAAACATCCAACCAGAGCCTTAAAGTGCATAAGAACAGAATTTACTTCTGCCTCCCTCTACTGTGGAAACRAAACTTCTTAGGAATATTGCTGAATGGGAACTACCAAGACTTATATAACAAGTTGTAAAATACAGTAGGATGAGGAAGGACAGTCCTGGAAGCCTTTCTTAAAACAGCCCATATCTACAGGAAAACTGCAACTACTTTTTAAAGTATCACTTGCCTGTCCCTCCAGTAGGAAATAATCCTTTTTGTTGCCTGCGTGATATTTTTAATGAGGTGATGGTGACAGGGTGGTGGTGTATTATCTAAACTGAAGAAAGGTTATGTCTTCCCCCACCCTTGCATAACTATCACAACCTGACAATAACACAGTGGAAGATTACAACAGCATTTCTCTTGTTTAGTTAGATACGGCAAAGGGAAAATAAGGCATGAAAAACAAAAAAGCTTGAAAAATAAACCACACCTTAAAGATAGAAAAAAGACCATACTGGGTTGCGCCGGAGTCCAAACAGGCTCAGGATCCCATTTCCAACAGCGGTCAAAGTGAATGCCTAGAGAATAAGAGCAAGGTGAAAATACGGTCATATTTCTCTTGGAAGAATCTTCCACATTCCAGACATCTGCATCTTAGGGATTTCCCGACTCAGCAGTCATGTTTTTGCATAAAGTATTATTTTCTGTGAGTTTCTCTAAATGCTCTCTGAACTCATTCTCACTTACCATGCTCCAAAGGTACTTGACAGGCAGAAGATTCCCTTTCAACCTGCAGCTGCTAGTTATCTAACAAGTTAAAATCTGTTGTGTTGCACCTAATGAAACACTTCAGTGTCTGTCTACAATTTCGTAAAGCAAACAAGAAACAATAAGCAACAAGGAAATAAGCAACAAGAAATCTTTTATCTATCCCTAGACAAAAAACTTTGGGGCATATGGAAGTCCTCAGTTTCCAAGAAAAACATAAGAAAATAGGAGCAACTGTGAAGGCAGAAAACAGCACATAACAGAAACAACAGCAGATCGTAAAGGATTATAGGGCCAGTAAGTGCTGCTAACATACAGAGCAGGCTCTGAAGATATGTACTAATTAGAGATAGATTTCTAAATCAGTGGAAGCAGTGGAAAACAGCAGGCTCTATTCATCCACCCTGTCTTTGCTCCCTTGTTTTCTTCCAGTATTTTGAAGGGAAGATGATGGGGGAAAAAGAAAACTAACAATAGAACTTAACTCTTGTGCTCAGACACTTGTGGGTAAAACSACAATCATTCTGTTTTTACACATAGAGAATTACGAAAGTTAGCTGATTGTGTATGATAGTGCTATTGGAACCAGTAAAATGAATGTTAATGTACAAACCTTTATAAGTTTCGTAGCAACAGTGGAGAAAAATGGGTTTTCAGTTCTACCTGTTTTTAATTATTCCTGCAGAGGACAATGTTATCATCCTATTCCAGCTTTTTAAGGATGTTCTTTGAATGCTTGAACATTGCTTTATTCTTCTGTTCCATTTCCACAGGCAATCTAATTTAAAATGCAAAATAAACTGCTGTGGTCTCCGATGATGGCTCACAATATTTCTTTTAGAGTTTTATTTCTATCAAGAATTTCTGCTTTTCTTCCCAGTATTTCATTAAGGGCCAGCTCACATTTGCCGTGTTTAAAACAGAGTCAAATATTTTATCTTATCTAGTYATCATCCAAGTTCTCATTATGGCCACCTCTTTGGCTCTTTACTTAAAAACTTGCACTTTCTAACTTATGAGACTTTATTTATGAATAATTGCTACAGATACTAGAAGATAAAAGATACTATACTTCCTATACCTCCATATTTAAAATAGACACCTATTGTTACCTTTCAGATACCGTGCCATGTTTTCCTTTGGCTTTAGACACTTGAAAGGACAAGGACTTGAAAGGCACTGCGGAGGACATGCTGCAGATGAGTTGAGGCAAAGCAAGGGAACGTAAATCCATACGTCTCCAGCTATCTGCAGTCATAGCTGTTCTGCCTATAGCCCTCTTGATAGCTTTTTGGTGGTGTTCCCCAGCTTTTTGGGACGAGAAATACGGCTGTAGACAGCCACAGCTTCGCTCCCTCCAGAACAGCCGGGAATTCAGAGATGCATAAGCCTTGCTTGGAAGGTATTAGAGCAACTGCTATTTTTGAGATTTCTAAAGTTAGTCTTTTCACTAAAAAAAGCATCTGTGCCGTAAACACGCAGCACTCGCACAACAGACTCCATGCTCTCATTAGAGGCTGACACACATCCAGAAGCCCGGTGTTTCCCTCATGGAAATACGTTGCTACCACTTGGTTTACGTGCAGTAACTCGGGTGCTTTGGGGGCAAACAYGATATTCACGGAAGCAGCGGCCCCAAAATAAAACCAACGCACCCATGTGCGTGCGGGCACCGCACAAGAGTGACAAGTAATTTAGGTCCTGTGGGTAAATACATACATTATCTTAACCTTGGAGCTCCTGKGAGATTAAACCCTAAACATAAAAGAGCGCAAGGGAGCGGCCCCTCTCCCGTCCCGTCCCGCCCACCTCCCGAGCCGAGCGGAGCCGTTAACGGCCCGCGCGGCGCCGCTAACGGCCGCTAACGGCCGCCTGGTCCCCGCGCGGCTCCCTCGCGTGACGTGACGCGGCCGGGCGCCCCGCCCCACGCGGGGCCGTTGGGGCGCGCGCACGGGCGCTGTTTTGTAACCTCCTTCCGCGGCGGGCGCGCCCGCCCCCGGCGCCGCCCCGGCCCCGCCGCCAATGCGGGGCCGGCGCCGCGGTCCCGTGACGCCGCGTTTTATGTAAGGCGGCGGCAACGGCGGCAACGGCAACGGCGGAGCGCGCGCGGCGGTGACGGCGGCTCCGCGGCGGCGTTTGAAAGGGGCAGCGCGAGGCGCCGCTGCCGCCTCCAGGCGAGACCGCCGCTCCGGGCCGGGCCGCGCGCGGGCAGGGGGCGCCGCCATCGCCCGGCGCCCCGCGGC